ATATATAATAAAAAATTTGTTTTTGTTATTTTAAAATAAAATAAAATATATTTTCTATTATATTAAAAAAAAAACTATTTTTTACTTCTAATTTTTATATTTTTAGTTTCATATAATATGTTATAAGAAATCCTATTAAATTATTATGATACTAACGTTATAATACAAACATAAGTATCTTCCCAATCCATTGCAATAACTCCAGTATATTTTTCTTTTTCAGCTAAAATTATTATTCTATATGAAATCAATATTAATAAAATTATATTAATTAATAAATTATTAATTAGTAATATATATTAATTAATAAATTATATTAATTAATAAAATTTATATTATAAAATGAAAATAGAAAGACATAACAAACCATATTGTTTTAATTGAAATGGAAATGAAACAACATTTATTAATGTTTTAGCTACTTGTATCTCTGTTTGTATTGTAGATGCATTGTCAGCTGATATTTTAAGATTTTCCAGTGCAGTAATCATTGATTTTAATAATGAAATATGTGGAGGATAATATACTGCATGTTTATAAAAACTAGATTTTTTTGCTACATATATATCAGGTTCATATTTTATCAATTGCGGAAGTAATTTTGAAAGTTTAACTTTGTCATGTAGTAATTTCTGTGAAAAAGTTCCATTATATAATACTAAAAACAAAACAAATAAGTAATTAAAAGATATTGATAAAAAAATTTTAAATTATTAATAATAATTAATTATAATAAAAATAATACCATTAGTTCCTTTCAGTGCTACAGCATTTAACATGTTACTAAGATCAGGTAATTTTAATATATCTCCTGCACTAATATGTCCATACAAAATCTCATAATTGATGTTTCTTGATACTTCAGTAGCTAATTCCTTTGATACAACAAATCCTTTTTTTGCTAAAGATACAGAAGGTTCAACAATTTCATTCCATGATAATTTACCTTTTAATTTATGTGCATATTCTAATCCTCGTAATACTGCAGGTATACGTATTCCACTTTGTTCAAAATTGCCTAATAAATAATTCAAATAATATAAAATTTGATATGCATTTTGAAATATTTATATTTTTGTATATATATATGTATATATATATATATGTACCTTCAATTGTATTATTGACAAAATCAATAATAATTGGTTCTATTTGTTCTTTATGATTATATACCATTATGTAACCACCGCTAAAATAATAATTATAAATTACAATAAATATTTTGTACATATAAAGATATATATATAACTTACCCACCGAGACCAGTTTTATGTGGAGCTACTACTGTCATACAAATAGTCGCTGCAATAGCTGCATCTATTGCATTGCCATTTTTTCGTAATATCTTAGTTC